GCGCGCTGCGGGGACTCATGTAGGATTGTGTACACAGGAGAAGGACAATCTATAGAAACATAGGTACGTCGTCGAAGACGCCTCTGAAGGCGCCTCGGAAAGCGCAGAATACTCCTATAGACTCTCACACACACGCACACGCATACATATATATATATATATATATATATATACATGGGGAAGAAATTGAAATACGTGGAAAGAAGTGGCATGACTCGGGAGGGCTTGGGGGAGGGGTACATATGTGTATGTAAATATATATATCTAATATATAAATATATATATATATGTATACGGAGCGGCCAAGAGGGGGGGTCCAAGACGGGGGGTGCAAATCATGACCGACGCACTGCGGCGGCACAGCGGGGGGCCAGGGACGTAAGAAATAAGAAGAGGCGCCATGAAACTGGGAAAATATCATGCCCCCGCCATGATTATCCCCCCCGCCCCTAGTTGGAAGGAAGTGGCACGCTTCGGGATGGCTATGGGGGAGGTGTATTTATATATATATATATATATTCATATATATATATATATATAAATAAAAACATTATACAAACAACATGCACACATATATTCCTAAATATATATATATATAATATAATATAAATATATGTATATATAATATATATGTATGTCTATAGAAAGTGTATATATATAGAAAGTGTATTCAGATAGTGCTCGGTTGTTGGCCGCCAGAATCGTCGCCCTCGCCTCAATTAAGACATTAAGACAAATCTACATAAACATCAGACTAAGATAAATGAGGGGAATGATAAGGTACGTCGTCCAAGACGCCTCGGAAGGCTCCTCGGAAAGCGCAAAATACTCTTCCAAGGCGCGGAATCATGTTCCCGGACCGCCTTCCGGGAACATGATGGGGACGACCTTCTGAGGGTCTCCAGTGGGCCTCTTGAGGGCCTCTCGGAGGCCTGTTGGGCTCTCCTGGAGGCGTCTTGGGGCGCGCTCAGGGCCATTGTTGGGCATCTTGGGGGCCTCTATATATGGGGAAGAAATTGAAATACGTGGAAGGAAGTGACACGACTCGGGAGGGCTTGGGGGAGGGGTATATGTATATGTATATATATATACATATATATATATATGTATATATATGTGTGTATGTATACATACATACATACATACATACATACATGCATGCATACATACATATGTACATATACATATGTATATGTATATGTATATGTATATGTGTATGTATATGTATATGTATATGTATAAGTATGTATACATATATATAAAGACAAATACGTAAGACATGCAGGACTGTGTACACAGGAGAAGGACAATCTATATAAACATATGTACGTCGTCCACGGCGCCTCGGAAGGCGCCCTGGAAAGCGCAGAATACTCCTCCAAGGCGCGGAATCATGTTCCCGGACCGCCTTCGGGGAACATGATGGGGACGACCTTCTGAGGGCCTCCAGTGGGCCTCTTGGGGGCCTCTCGGAGGCCTGTTGGGCTCTCCTGGGGGCGTCTTGGGGCGCGCTCAGGGCCATTGTTGGGCATCTTGGGGGCCTCTATATATGGGGAAGAATTTGAAATACGTGGAAGGAAGTGGCACGACTCTGTAGGTGCTTGGGGGGATATATTATAATATATATATATATATATATATATATAATATATATATAATCTATATATATATATAAAATTTGATAATATATATATGTATATATATATTTAAATATATATGGTACAGCCTCCCCAAACACCCCGTGAAGCCCTATCTCGCTTTTCTTTCCCGTCCTCCCTCTTCTTCCACCTCCTGTTACATCTTCCTACACCGTTCATATTTCCCCCCCTCCTCCTCCAACCTCCTACCTCCTTCCGCCTCCACCTACCACCTCCTCCTCCTCCTTTTCCTCATCGTCCTCTTCGTCCTCCCCCTTCTCCTCTTCTTCTAGCTTCTCCTCCAAAGAGGCTCATGGGAGAAAATCTACCACGAAACCCTGCTATTCACAGTTTTTTTTTAATTTTTTTGGTCAGTGATGCCACGAAACATTGCTATTCACATGTTTTTTTTGTTTTTTGGGTTTTCAGAGGTCTGCGAACTTCGCCAGGAAGCTGGTGGACGGTGCCAACCTGAAAAAACCTGTGAATAACAGGGTTTCGTAGCATCGTGGCGAGAAAACCTTGCTATTCACATGTTTTTTATATTATTTTTTTGGTTTCAGCTGGAAAACCAAAAAATGTGAATAGCAGGGTTTCGTAGCATCGTGGCGAGAAAACCCTGCTATTCGCATTTTTTTGGTTTCAGCTGGAAAACCCCAAAAAAAAAACTGTGAATCGCATTGTTTTCTCGCCGCCAAACCACCAAACACTGCTATTCACAAGTTCTTCTGGCGCTCATCGGCGCCGACCATCGCCGGCGAAGTTTGCAGACCTCTGAGAAAAAAAAAAAATGTGAACAGCAGTGTTTCGTGGTATCACTGACCAAAAAAACCAAAACAACCTTTGAATAGCAGTGTTTTGTTGCCCTGCTGTTCCTCCTTTTCCTCCTCCTCCTCCTCCTCCTCCTCCTCCTCCCCCTCTTCAGCCCCCTCGTCCTCTTCGTCCTCCTGCCCCTCCTTGTCCTCCCCCTGCTAGCCGGACCCCATTTGTTCTTACTCCTCCCGTGCTCATAATTTTCCTCCCCCGCCTTCTGCCTTCTCTCCCTATTATGATTCTCCTCATCATCATGTAAAACATCCGTCAGAAGGTGGCGTTGCTCCTGTCGGCCGCAGGCGCAACAAATGGCACAACCCAGCTCGGCTGTACGCTCGGCCGCTGATGGCGCAACAAATGGCACAACCCAACAAATGGCTCCTGGGACATGGCTGCACGCTCGGCCGCTGATGGCGCAACTTATATACTGCAGCCGAAAGAAGAATATTGCATTCTCAGCCGCCGAGGGCGCAACCTCTGGCGCAACCACTCGGAGACGGTTGCATTTTCGGCCGCCGAAGGCGCAATTGATATGATGACGCTAAACCCACATTTCGCTTCGCGGATTGCATCTGCATGGTGAGTGCGAGTCTGACCATACACCTGGTCTCATAAGAACACTTCGGCAGAGCCGATTTAAACAACGCGTGCGCCCGCGCGCCTGATGCCGAGTCACTCAGCGGGCTCAGTCAAGCCAGCGAGAGAGCTCACTGGCCGTAGTCCTTGGCCCACGCGTCGCGGAGCATCTGGCCAGTGGCGAGCCAGAGGTCGCTGCCGCGGTTCCAGTACGCCCATTGGAAAGAACGCACCTTGCATGGGCCAGAGAGCGGACAGGAACTGCGCATGTCGCGCTGGACCGCCTCTCCAAATCCCAGCGCGTGCCCCCCGCCAACCTTTTCGCGCGGGGCGAATGACGCGTCCCACCCCCTCAAGGGCGGCGTTCAGCTGCACTGAAATTTGAAGAGGCGGCGCCAGCGCGAACAGACGCGGCACGCGCCGTTCAAGTTGCCTGCCTTGTTGCGGAGGAGGACAGAGCCCACCGTCTTCGCGTTGCCCTTGCCGACTGCCTTGCGCAAGTCGCCCCAGGCACGGTCGACCAACTGCGTGCCGCACTTCGCCCACAAACGTTTCGTCCCACTGGGCTTGTTCTCGTCAGGCACATCGCGGTAGCGGACCTTCGTGAAAGCAGGCTTCAGCCAGACCCACTTCCCGCCAACCTGCACCCTGTTCTTCTTGTGGACAACCCAGTCGTGCAAGACGTCGTCGACCTTCATCTTGTGCGACCTCGCACCGTCTGCGTGCAAGATGACACGGCGGTTTTTCAGCCACTTGGACGCCACGGGCGCCCAATCTCTCTTCCGAATTGGGCCTGGGCCAGGCGCCCTGCGCTTGGCCTTCTCAGGCTTTAACCTGAAGAGGACCAACGACCTGGGGTTACCCCGCTGCACGATGCCGCCCCACTGTTCCCAAGCGATGGGCTTCTGAGAGCGGGGGCCAGCGTTCGGGTCCTCGCCCTTGGCCGCGTCGACCTCGCCCGCCTCGACGTCCGCCCACTCGAGCGCGTTGCCGTCCTGGTCCTTGCCGGAGACGATGTTCTTCTCATGGCAGTTGACGTGCTTGGCGCGGGCCGCGTACAGCGCAGAGTAAATGCTCTCTGCCATATTGTGGTTGTTCTTGAGCAAGAGGCGAGCCGACGCCTGCGAGCACTGGGCCACGGACAGCACGGCAGCCTGGTCGACCAAGCACTCCCCCGACGATCCCGTGCCACACTTGAAGATCGGGTGGAAAGCGTGTGGCAAGAGGTAGCGTCGGCAACTGTCGCTCGTGCATTTGTGGGACCACCCGCCCTTCTTCTTGCCATGGTTTTTCAAGGGGGCCAGCGTGCCGACCCCGCAGTAAGGGCACGTGGCGCCCTTCCACTCGGGCAAGAGCTTGTCCTTCTTCAGCTTGTCGATCACCTGCTTAGTCGTCACGTTCACGAAGTCCTTCAAGCACCGAGCCCAGACTGCCCTGTCGGGACGGGACCTGGATGAAGAAGACCCGTGGCGCGTGTATGGGACGTTCTTAGGCTTGCGTATCAGTGGGTTTTGCTTCACCCTCTTCATCGCCACAGGCCTCGAGGCCATGCGGGCCTTCCCACGCTTGGCGACTGGCCAAGGCTTCCCCATGGGCGAGGCGCGCGAGGGGCGGAAGTCAAGCCTTTGACGGGGCTTGGCGGTCACGCGTGATGCGTCTCTCTGGTTTGAGCCAACAGAAACAGGAGTCGGATGCTCTGGCTGAGTGCTGTTGACAAAAGATGCGTGCTGGCGAAGCGATTGGTAGCGCCCAAACAAGGATGAAGATGGGGATGTTCAACCAACGCCGTTGCGTTTGCAAACCATATGCACAGCCGCGCACATTCCGCCTGGGCATTACCATGTCCCTAGCCCGACATATCGCTACACGGATGGCATCTGCGTGAAGAAATCAAGCTCGCGGGATTTAAACATTCGGCTTACCCGAACTAAGAAGCGCGCGTGAACTCACGCCCTCCAGCTTGCCCCAACTGGATCACTCCGTCTGGCCAGCAGGATTCCTTGCGGAGCCGTCAGCCCGCGCCGCCTCGTCGGCGTCGAGCATCGCCTCCATCTCGGCCTCCACGTCGAGGCCACCGTCGTCCACAGTCAATGTCTCCCCGTCCGCTTCTGCGACGATGGAAGCGAAGATGGCCCGCTGCTCCTGGAGGTCCACGGGGGAGTGGCCCGCCGCGCGCCAAGCCCGTCTTCCTGCTCTTCCGCGGAGGAGTAAGCAGGTCCACGTGCGCACCGTGGTGGGCCTTGGCGAGGCCGTGGAAGATAGCTACCTGCCCCCGACTGTCCTCCTCCGAGAGCGCACCATGGCAACCGAGAGCTGAGGGCTGAGCGGCTGAAGCACCGCCGCCGCCAACCTCGGAGGCGATCGCCCCTTTCACGAGGGCGCCCCGCGCCGCCGTCAACTGCCTGGGGGGCGTCGGCTCATGCTGGCTCATGCCGCCACCGAATCCAAAGACGTCCTCCTCGTCCTCGTAGGGGCGCCCCGCAGGCGCGGCCTCCTCTGCGCTCGCCGTGTCCGCAGCCCGCGGCGCCGCGGCACTGGCGGGGCCGCTGCTCGCGGCAGCGGCGGCGGCGGCGCCCCCGCCGCTGTCGCCCGCGACTGCTGCTGCGCGCGACTCGGCCATGAGCTGGAGCATGTCCCTCTTCTCGAAGGCGAGGAGTCTATCATGCTCCTCCTTGTCGCGGCACTTCTTGTGCTTGAGGTACTGCATTAAGATGTTGCCTGCCTCGGGCTTGATGTAGCTGGCCATGAGGGGCAGCTTCTCGACGGCCGAGTCCTTGCCGGCAGGCCTGTAGAAGAACGAGACCTTGGTGTTCAGCCCGACGTTGCATCGCTCGAGCATCGCCCCAAGGTTGCTCTCTGACATGCCCTTCGGGAACGCAGGGCGGATCATCTCAAGAAAGAATGCCGTGGTCCTCTTCGCTGCATCGGGGGAGGTGCTCGCAAATGCCCATTCCTCTGCGCTCGGTTCTGCACTGGCATTGTATTCGTTGCCCCCGCCGAACCTGAGCGAAGACGAAACGACGGGGCAGCCAGCGCCGAACAGCCCCCGTCCCAAAGCGCCCAAACCCGCCCAAGGAATCAAAAGGGGGCTGGCTGTCCCCGATGCTTCGGCTTTGCCTGCCGCCTCGCTTGGCCGCGCACGAACTTCGCGGTCCCCCAACGCACGTACGTCATGGACTCGGCTTGCGTGGGATCGAAAAACGCTTTGAGAACGCGAGGGCGCTGGTCAGCGAGGTCGCCATCGTCGAAGATGCAGGGGGCCCCGGGCTCCCCGACCTCTCCGCGAAAGAATTTAATCTCTGCAGACACGCGAACGGCGGCCTGGGCGCGGCCTGGGCGACGGTCGTTGGCTGCGTCCGCGTGATACCTGGCCATCGCCATCGCCAGGATATACATGTCGGGGGTATTGCCGAAGCCGGCCTCCCCGATGGTAAGCAGCGTGTTGCCCGAGAGGGTCTGCAGTATCTTGTTCGTCATGGGTTGGTACTCGTCGCGAATGTCGGGCTTGAGCAACGGATAGTACTCCTCCTTGACAGCGAAATGGTCGCGGTCGGCGATGCACTTGAGCAAGCTGTTTACGAACTCCCGCTTCATGTTGTAGAGGGGGGAATCGGGGTCCACGAACTGGTGCTCCACCCACAGGAGCCTCTGGCCGTCGAAGTTGCCGCGAGGGGCCTCCGCCTGCACGTAGTCCCATGCTCGGTCCAAGGCGGCCTTCTTGTCGGCGACCTAGCCAGAGTCGACGCCTTCGCCTGCAGCTACCTTGGGTTTGGGCGGGCCCCAATAGCGAAAGAGCAAACCACCCATGTCTTCTAATATGACCTGCAGCGTGCGGACTGTGTTGAACGTATCGGGGCGGTAGTCCAAGACGCATGGCTCGCCCTCGACTAACTTGTCGCGGACCGCCGCCATCGGCTCACCGCCGCCAAGAAACGTGAAGACCTTCACGACCAAGTAGTGGCCATCTGGCAAGGACTTCGACACGTGCATGCTCATCGCGCAGGGGACGTCGCTTTGGCCTGCGTCGGAGATACCGAGGGGGGGAGGCATGGCATTGCACCGCCCCTCAGCCATTGCCTCCTTCACAGCGTCCCAGTCGACGCCCGAGAGATCTTCCTGGCTGGTGATGAGGTGATGAAACCCTTGATAGGGCGCCTGGCAGAGAAGCTCCACTGCTTGATGGGGAAGTCCCAGAAGGTCGCGGCGCCCGCTCTGTCTACGTCGCCCACCACCTCGGGCTTCGCAAGAACTTCGAAGGTCGGCAATGGCTTCGCCTTGTCCCAGGCCGCAACCATCACGTCGTTGGTGTGGCCCGCGTGCTCCATGGAGACCCCGAAGGACTTCATGCCGCAGGCGGGGAGGCTTGCGGCCTCCATCGGAAAAGCCTTCGGCATGATAGCGCAGCTGGTAGCGCCGAACAAGCGCAGCTGGCAATGAAAGCCTTCGTCGAGAACGCGCGGCGAGTAGCGGGTGAGCTTGAGCCGATATGTGCGCGGCTGTCGACGCAGGGCCAGAGGCGTAATGGCGCCAGCACGGGAACAGCTAGCTGAGGTCAGCGCCGCCTCCCTGCGAGAGGATTCGGGGCGATCTGTCGCCCTTGCGGGCGTCATGCTTTGCTGAGGCCAAGCGAAAGCATGTTCGATGTGGTTTCAAAGCAAACGCATAGGATGTGGGGGCGCGCGAGGCACGCGCCGCGCCCTCACATCTTGCCGCCGCCTCAGAGGAAGCGGAACGCAGAGACGCGCAAGCCGAACGCGGGGCCCACGAGCTCGCGCCTCAGCCGAAGCGGCGGCGCACTGCGCGGCACCCGAGCGAAGGGCCCACGCGCTGGCGGCGCGACGGCTGCTCGCTCTCCACTTCAAAAACGAGGGTGCGGTGTGGTGGCAGGCCCAGCGCCCCCTGGACGCGCCATTCCACAAAGCTCCAAGTGGCCGACCAAGCCACATCCATGCCGATCGTCCATCCGACGATGTCTGGGGGCGTCAAGCGGACGGAGCACGCACGGGCCTCGGGTGCAAACGCGTATCTAGATCGCATCGCACAGATCTCTGGCAAGGCGAACGGGTGTCGCGATCAGAACGGTCGGTCGGCACGTCGCAATCGACATCTGATCGGTCCGTCGGTCGATCGATCGGTTCGTAGGTGTCGACATGATCAAGCGCAACGCCGATGGCAATCGACGCGATCGGAAGCGGCGCGCCCAACGCGCACTAATCGGGAAACAGCGCGCGCCTGGTCGTTGCGGGAGATGGGCTCCGCGTGAACTTCCAAGCACATGTACGGGCGGGCGATGAGCGGGAGCAATGCTGGGTCAGGCGTCACCCACAGGTCGAACGCGAGCCCGTCTGCGGTGAACAGCGCGCTGGCCCTCCTGCACTCCCAGCGGCGGGGCCAGATGTACGCCATGAAGCGGTCCTGGGAACAAAAGAAACACACAATTTCCTCACCGCCACCACCACCCCCCTTGCTATCCTCGCCAGCTGCCAGGCGCAACGACTGGTTAAGCCCGACATTGCGCCAAGCAGCGGCTGGCGGTACGCCGCCGCCGTAGGCGGGGGGCGCCAACAAATGCGTACTCGCATGCCATGCTGGAAGCAGGGAATGGCGCCTCACCTGCGTCTGAGCACAAATGGCTGCGGCGACGGTAGCGAGCTGCGGGTCGTGCCACGTAGCATCAGCAGCGCCGTGAGCGCCAATGTGTTCTCAGCGCGCTTGGGTCACGGTGCGTTTGCCACTGACAAAATGTTTCGCTGTTGGTAGGTTGATATCGTTGTGATGTCGTGCGTGCGTTCTGTTTTGGTTCGCTGGTTTTCGCCTCCACGAGGGCATCCAAAAATGCGGATGCCCTTTTCCGCAACAGACTGCGCATATGTGCATCGCTGTCTCTGCGTCGACCCGAGTCTGTCGCTTAGGCGCGTTTGTTATTCTTGGTCGCTTGTTATTGTTGCCCCGCGTTGCTGTTCGGCTATGCTTCTGTTTTCGCTTGTCCGAGGGCGCTCTAAAACTTGTTCGTCGTTGCTGGCGGGTTGCCCGCGTTGTCGTCGACTGCTTTCCTGTGTCGTACTTGTTTTGTCTACGGCTGTAGGCCCTCGTGGGAGGCATCCTAAAATGTGGATGCTCTTTTCGCTGCGAAAGACAAGCGCGGGTTCATCGTTGATTCTTCGCCGCGTGAGGTTTGTCGCTGCCTCTCGCTGGCCGTCGCTCTCCTCCCCGTCTGCTTCGCCGTCGTCAGCCGCCTCTGAGACTCTGGAAGGGGGCATCCAAACTAGGATGCCCCTTCTTAAGGTTCCGTTAACGCTGTGTAGTATTGTTCTTTTTTTGGTTTGCTTTTGCGCGGTGCCCTGCCTCGTCGCGCTGTTGCTGCTCGGGGGCGCCTAGGCGCCGTCTTGGAGGCCTCTCGGATCGTCTTGAGCGGGGCGGCGGTGGTCTTGGAAGCTCCTCGGGTCGTCTTGCTGCGGCCCCGCTGGAAGGAGCGGCTGCCTTGTCTGCCGTCACTGAGACCTCTGGAAGGGGGCATCCAAACTAGGATGCCCCTTATCGGTCCAATAGGCATGGCCCGAGTCTCTCGGGGCCTGCTCGTTTTGTCGCCTCGCGCCCGAATTCTGTCATTAGCGGCGGCAACCAGCCTGCTGGTCGCCGAAGCACCCGTCACGGATGCTCCTCCGAGTTCTCTGCGCGAGCTCGAAGTACTTCTCCCTCTGCGCGACCGCGGCCAGGGAGACGAAGCGGCACCTCTCCGACAAAAGCTCGTCGCACTTGGCCTGCGATTTCGGAGAGGAACACTTGGTCTTGGAGGGCGGTTTGAAGACCGACGGACTTTGTCACGCCCTCCCAGGGGCGCGCTTGGGCGGGCACCGAAGTTCGTCGGCCTTCAAAGGCTTCGGTGTTCAAGAGCCAAGCCTTCTTCTCTGAAAAGGCTTGCTGAAGACGCTCGCGCTCCTGCGCCCCCTCCTTCGCGCCCTCCGCCTTGCCCTGGGCCTTCGCCTTCCGCGCATGCCGCCTTTTTTTCGGCGAGGCGCCGAACGAGAAGCAAACGGAGCGAGGACTGGCACGCTGAGGAAACCGCTCCCGAGGGGCCCCGCGGGAGACCTCGAAGAGGCCTAAAACTCCACCCTCGCAAGCAGCTTGCGTGGCAGAAGCCCGTTTCCGAGTTTCGGAAAAAAAGGCCAGCCCTTGCTCGCTCCCTTCGGGCGCGCCGCCGTGCCTCAGGCGCGCCGTTTCCTCGACCAAGTGCTCCAGCTTGCCGTTCTTGCTCTTGGCCTTCTGCAAGGCCTTCTGGTTGTCGTCGGCTGCGCGCTGGGTGGGGGTATGTTACGTGTTGTGTTGTGGCGGACTGATGCGCGCTGTCCGTGTTGGTGTTGGTGTTGGTGTTGTTGTTGCTGTTGTGGTGTGTGTTGGTTGGTGTTGGTGTTGGTGTTGGTGTTGTGGTGGGTGTTGTTGTTGCTGTGTTGGTGTTGGTGTTGGCGTGGTGGATGTAGGAGGAGACGGATCATCGGAGTGATCGCATGCTGGAGGACGGGGTGCTGGGGGGGGGGGGGGGGGGCGGGCCTTCCACGGCCTCTATATACCCATACGTAAGACATGTAGAACTGTGTACACAAGAGAAAGACAATCGATATAAACATAGGTACGTCGTCCAAGGCGCCTAAGGCGACTCGGAAAATGCAGAATACTCCTCCAAGGCGCGGAATCATGTTCCCGGACAGCCTTCCAGGAACATGATGGGGACGACCTTCTGAGGGCCTGCAGTGGGCCTCTTGGGGCCCTTTCGGAGGCCTGTTGGGCTCTCCTGGCGGCGTCTTGGGGCGCGCTCAGGGCCATTGTTGGGCATCTTGGGGGCCTCTATAAATTGGGAAGAATGTGAAATACGTGGAAGGAATTGGCACGACTCGGGAGGGCTTGGGGGAGGGGTATATGTATATGTGTATATATATGTGTATATATATATACATATATATATATATGTATATACATATATACATATAGACATCTACATATAACATATATATACACACCCATACGTAAGACATGTAGGACTGTGTCCACAAGAGAAGGACAAACTATATAAACATAGGTACGTCGCCCAAGGCGCCTCGGAAGGCGCCTCGGAAAACGCCGAATACTCCTCCAAGGCGCGGAATCATGTTCCCGGACCGCCTTCCGGGAACATGATGGGGACGACCTTCTGAGGGCCTCCAGTGGGTCTCTTGGGGGCCTCTCGGAGGCCTGTTGGGCTCTCCTGGCGGCGTCTTGGGGCGCGCTCAGGGCCATTGTTGGGCATCTTTGGGGGCCTCTATATGTGGGGAAGAATTTGAAATACGTGGAAGGAAGTGGCACGACTCGGGAGGGCGTGGGGGGGTACATATATGTATGTATGTATATATAATATAATATATATAATCTCTATATCAATAAAAGTAATGTATATCATATACATAACTGTATTGTATGTAGTATGATATATATATATATATATATAATATATATATATTAATAATCATGTGTGTGTGTGTGCGTATATGTATGTATATATATAGACCCATACGTAAAACATGTAGGATTGTGTACACAGGAGAAGGACAATCTGTAGAAACGTAATACGTCGTCCAAGGCGCCTCGGAAGGCGCCTCGGAAAGCGCAGAATACTGGAATCATGTTCCCGGACCGCCTTCCGGGAACATGATGGGGACGACCTTCTGAGGGCCTCCAGTGGGCCTCTTGGGGGCCTCTCGGAGGCCTGTGGGGCTCTCCTGGCGGCGTCTTGGGGCGCGCTGAGGGCCATTGTTGGGGCTCTCCTGGGCCGTCTTGGGACGATTTTGGGGGTCTCTTGGGCCGTCTTGGGGCGGTCTCGGGGGCCTTGTCGGCCGTCTTGAATTGGTTTTGGGAGACTCTTGGGCGGCCTTGGAGCGTCGGAACCCAGAAAAAGCGAGAAGGCCAAAAACCTCGAACAAAACAATACAAATCAACGATTTTGGCTTGTCGGGGCTCTCTTGGGAGGCCTCTTGGGATGCCTTCGGGGCCTCATGGAGCTCTCTTGGAACGTCTTCGGGCCTTCCTGGCCATTCCTGAGGCTATCTATGCGCGTCTTGGAGCGCTCGCGGGCCGTCTTGGGCGGTCTCAACTTGTTCCTGGCGGTCCCAAGGGCCCTCCTGGACGCTTCGGGCGCTCCCGGGGGCGCCCTGCACACCCATGGAGATGACAGGCACCGCCCCGGGGCCCTTTTCCGATATATATATATATATATATATATATATATAATAAATATATATATATAATATATATTCACACACACATATAATAAATATATATTAATATATATATATATATATAAAAATAATAATTCTCATACGCACCTCTCCGAGGGAGATGTTCCTAGCCTGGCCGTTTCGCTCGGGACATCCTCGAAATTCTGAAAATCGGTGGCACC